TAATGAATCTGGGTCGGGGTGGTACACACGGGGTGGTACACACGTGCATACACACATGCATACAAATAGGAACACACAGTGCTGTGGCTGAGTTCGATGAGTTGATGGTGATCTCATGTTGACCTCCAAAGGACTGTTCTATGATAATAGGCCAACAAATATGAAGAAAATGTATTTTAAGCGTCTGAATTGATGAGGCTGGGTGGCTGGCAGGAGGCTTCCTTTTAACATAGATAAACCCGTCTTGAAGCAGCGCTCACATCTATGTTTGAGAGACGACGTCAATATAGCGAGCCGTGCATAAACACTACCGAGTCGGCTGTATCCACCTACGGGACCCCGCATCCACAGCTGTCCCAAACTGTTTCAATCCGTGAAGATCCGGGTTAGAATTGGTCTTTTTGCAATTCATGCTGGTTGCAAAAAGCGACTCTCGCGATCGGGTGGTCAGATTTGGTTCACACAAGTACCCAACAGTGTATATCGAGGCTCATGATGTTGACCCCTTGATTGCCTGGTCGAGACCCGATTATTCACAGACCGCCACCGTGTAGCTGGAATATTGCTGAGTGCGGCGTTAAACAACAAACAAACAAATCAAGTTGTTTCACGCCACATCAGGGTCCTCATGGTGAACTTGTGTTGACTGTGTTTGTGTGGTCTGACATTACGTGATGCGGACTGATTGCATTCGTATAAACTTAACACGTAAACCCACCGGCTGATACAGCCATGAACCTGTACACCCCATAGAAAGAAAGAGATTATGATCTCATTTCACATATTAACTGAAACCTATATATGGACATTCACAGCATGTCTCTTCGTATTTTGCAAGTGTACGTTGTCTGTTTGCTCTTGTAACAGATTTTTTGTGTGACATGCAATAGCAACCCCCGCTTTACAAGAAGAGTGAATTCAGCTCCTAGAGTTGTCATAGTACACAGCTGTACAGGGTGTATCTCGGTGGGTCAGACAAGACAGGGACTTCTCACGGCCTCCCTTACGTGAACTCACTGATCTTGTAGAAAAACTATCACTGCTACTGTGAGCTCTTTTATAATCCAATTATAAAAAGCGGTATTTCAACAGTGTGAGAGAAATACCATGAAAAGATTAAATTCTATTGCGATCAATGATGTGACGAAAAGGCTGACGTAATAACTGCAAGGCTCGATATGTTTGCAAGGTACAGAATATTTATGTATAGACCATCTGTCATCTGAACAACCACATGCATAAACGGCCTATGAGGCGACAAATGTATTGTTCAATACTGTGATCAAAATATCGATTCGTTTTCCCGAGGAACAGAATGACCTGTGCAGAATGACACACGTATAACGTACATTGATAAAATAGGTCAATCTTCACGCGTAGCTAATTGAGAAGAAAGGATGTACTCCGAAACGCTGTGGTCCTCATAATTAAGAAAAAAATATATTCCTCGCTCTTGGAATAGTGAATGAGTGAGTGAGTGAGTTTAGTTTTACGCCGCTTTCAGCAATATTCCAACAATATCACGGCGGGGGACACCAGAAATGGGCTACACACATTGTACCCATGTGGGGAATCGAACCCGGGTCGTCGGCGTGACGAGTGAACGCTTTAACCACTAGGCTACCCCTCCGCTCCACACTCTTGGAATAACAAAGGTGTGAAGTGAAATTGGACAGACCGTTACACGTATATAACGACATAGACGCACGTGTGTGCCCGATTGGTCTGATCAGAACTACTGCCGGTTTTATAGTACTATCCAACGAAGAAACAGTTTCACAAGGATACCTTACACAAACATGGGACAAGACGTCGGACCAGTCCGTGTTTCAGACCGTTAATACCCATTACCCTAGAGGGTAACAGCAAGTACCAGGTTTTAACACCGTTTGGTATGAAATATATTTAAGTACTCAAATAAAAATGACTCTTAACACAAGTACAATGTATTGTTTTAATCAACCTAATATGTACCAAGAATATACAAATAGGCAGGTATCTAAATGAAGCAATTGACCTGATACAGAAGGAATATCCCTAGTAACACAATACATGGAGATCCAAATATACAACTGATTAATTATGTAGAAAAATAAGGTGTTATGGAATGTGATTGTGAAACAAAAGTGAAATATTAGATAAGCTAAAACATAATACATTGCTTGTTGGTGTAAAATCAAACATCTGGCTATGTAGAGTTCACAAACCTACAAAGATGTGATCGCGACTCAGCGTCCGAATATTACACAAGCGGTGATAAACAGGCTCTAATAACAACTATATATATATATACTATAGGAGTTGTGTAACAAAGAAAACAATTGACAAAGCCTCTCGTTTGGTGAGTCATATTAACAACAACCAAAATAACATGTTAATAACCAGATGCAAAGAAATAACAAACAAATACAAAGAGGTACAATAACACATGAACATGTCGAGTATAGAAATATTTGCATATAACAGAATTAAGAAATTCTGACACACAAGAATAGTTCTGCATTAAGCCTGCACGTTGTTATTGTGATTGCTTGAGAACATTACCAAGGTGTTTTTTAAGCACGTATCAATTGACAGTGAAAATGAAATGTCACAAACGGTCAGATCTACAGGTAGACATAGGTCAAGTTGAAATGTCAGTGAAAAGAGTACAAACAAATATCTCGAAGGACAGGTTCGAATTACAAAGTTACCAGATGTGTTACAATATAACCAGTATTCCAGTGTGTCGGTTCAATGTCGGAGGTGAGGTGAAATGGGGGTTAACGTCGTACTTAAGAATATTTCCCTCATATGATGACGTGCATGCGTGTGTATGTGTGGCTGCTTGTACTAGCCCAGACTGACCAGTCCTTGTTGTACCCATTAATGCCGACGGCCAGGCAGGGACCAACATGCTCCATATTTTAACGTCTTTTGGTATGACATACGTTATATTTGGGATTACTCTTTCTTAGTAAAGTACATATTATGGTACTTGTTTGGGTTGAGTCCCATCCGGGATACGAACCCACACCCTCTGAGTCAGGCACCTAATCGCCAGCACACAAAGTCTGCCGCCCAACCTGCTCAGCCATCGCGACTTCCACAAACATGGAAGTCGGACAACTAGTAGTCGACACTTCGGACTTTGTGTACCCCTCTGATAAGTGTGAATTGGCACGGCTCCCACGGCCGAAAGCTATGATTACATAATGCCATTTAGAAAGTGGTCAAATGTAACATATGTTATATTTCTTAGAATCTGTACTTTACTAAGAAAGCGTAATCCCAAATATAACATATGTTACATTTGACCACTTTCTAAATGACATTGTGTAACCGTGTTTTAGTATGACGCGGCCGGGTATCGAACCCGCTCTCTGCTATACATTTTGGTATAACCCACTAGGACGATTATGGAGTGAATGAGTGAGTTAAGGTCACATCGGCAATATTTCAGCCATATTGTGACTGCACGGGCATTGAGCTGAAACAGAAGCATGAAATCCGGAAGCGCAAACAAATACATGTGACCTTGATGTTCATTAAATTACAGCTTAATCAAAATACGCAAACGACAAGACTGACTGACTGAGTTTAGTTTTACGCCGCTTTTAGCAATATTCCAGCAATATCACGGCGGAGGACACCACAAATGGGCTTAACACATTGTGCCCATGTGGGGAATCGAACCCGGGTCTTCAGCGTGACGAGCCAACGTTTTAACCACTAGGCTACCCCACCGCCCCTCAAACGACAAGAAGTAATAATACAGAAATTCCTGTCCTAATGAGAAGCTAATCATCGAACCATGTGTTCTGTTCTGTTTTAAAATAAGTTCAATCCAATATAGTCATCACTGATACTATAGTCTAGACATTCGCAGTGGTACACTCCCATTTGTCAGACGTGCCATTTGTCAGACGGCCGAATTATCAGAGAGACCAGTCAAGTGTGACCAGTGTAACTGCCTGGACTTAACCATTATTTAATGAGCTGCTCCAAACTGTGGACAGAGTAGGCAACTGTTCGCTCTCAAGTTCGTTAAGTGATACAGATTAACCAGATTATGATTTTGCTTGTAAGTTGCTTTTGATCAGTGTGACGGGTTGCATGTGTTGTAGTAACGAAATTTGGAGTAACTTGTTCAACTGTATTGGATACAGGAAGTGCGTGAGGCTCTGTACATATTCATCAATAGGTTTTAACTGAATTTGTTTTGCATTATTTCATTACTTAAATGGATTAAACTTCTCCAAAACATAAGTATAATCTCACATGTACCATATAACATGAACTCTAAAGTCAGTAAGATATCGCTGCAATGGCTGGTATACGCAGAGTTGAATTCATTGAGTCTCAGAGAGGAACCCCACAAGTATTTGTTAATGGCTTCACCTACTCTAAGAATAGAACCAGGGGCCAGACCACACACGGGAGATGTATCATCAAGACATGCCGAGGGAAATGTTCCACTGTTTGGGGCTTTCTGAACGATTTCTCGGACAACTGCCATCCGCCAAGAGATCCGAATCAAGTCCAGTTTGTTGGCAGTTTGCGGAAACGGTCCAGAGAAGAAGCTACAGTTTGTTAGCAGTTTGCGAAAACGGTTCAGAGAAGAATAATAATAAGAAGACAAGATCCTGATCTTTTATACTGATGAGCAGCTGATATGTCTTTTCGAAGCAGATACAATCTACATGGATGGTACCTTTTCCTGTTGCCCCAACCTTTGGAACCAGCTGTACACTGTACATACCCGCAGTGGATATACGACGTACCCACTTGTCTTCGCCCTGCTGCCCAACCGACAACCGACAACATACGCCAGGCTGTACACAGAGTCTGAGGGGAGACTGCTCCAGTTGAAAGAGTAGCTGACAAGTGGACAGAAGACATCTGTTCAATTCCTGGATGCTGTTGGACACCTATTGAAACTGGGCAGACTTGAACTCTACTCTAATATAATCAGGCTGATTTCATACTGATTTGCTTACTTGTACTGGATGGGTTCATTATTGTTATTGTCATTATTATTAAAAAGTCTTCCCTGATTTCTAACATTTCTGATTTCTTTTATTTGTTTTATGGGCCATTCCTATTTCATTAAGAGGTAACAGGCAGGGGATTAGCTGTGCAATCAACCAGATAGTTTGTTGTTTTTACCTGTCTGACAAATGGCACGTCTGATAAATGGGACGATACCTTCGCAGTCACGTTATGTAGGTTGCCATACTTGCCCGACCATATCATTGCCTGGACAGAAAGGTCACCTAACCTACCAGCATAACCTTTACCCCAACATTTGCTATGGAACAAGGAAACTATAACTTGCCTCCTGACTTTGTAATTTACTTTACAGACACATAGAGATTGTGTAGACAAACCTCCGCAATGGTTCCTCAGCAACTAGCACGCATTGAATTCGTTCAATATAATTTGGCCCTGATAAATATATTCGTACACATTGCCACATTTGCCTTAAACTCGCTTCACGCTCAGGATATACGCGTCAGTGTTGGTAGTGAGGATTTCCAAGTCCTTGACCTCATTGTGACATGAGCAGTTCATACAGTTCCATTTGATATGTACGTTTCGCAATCATGGAGGCTGTTTCGCCACAATGATTTCCTGCATTGATGTCAAGCTCATTCTTTAACAGAACATACTGCGCAATTTTCCCATTTCCTGTTTTGCAGGCAATGTGAAGCACGTTGTTTCCCCCATCGTCCACTTGTAATAGATCAGCGCCTTGACTCACAAGTAACCGAATCACTTCATTTTGGTTCCGCAACGCTGCCCATAACAGTGGCGTTCTTCCACGTTGCCCTCGACTGTTGATGTCCACAAAATTCTGTGACAGGATATGCTTCACCATACTTTCATGCCCTTCCATGCTAGCCATGTGTAGGATGTTGTTCTCCATGTTATCAAGTAGTGATGTATCAGCTCCCTTTCCCACAAGCAGGTCACACACGCCTCTGTGTCCACCACGTGCTGCGATCATCAGAGGTGTTGCCCCATCCTTCCCCCGACGGTTGATGTTAAAACCTCTCTGTGAGAGGATATACTCCACCATCTCTTTATGTCCTCCACGACACGCCGCATGGAGCACATTGTTGCCATCCTTATCTACGTGTGATATGCTACTTCCTTTCCCGACAAGTATGTCAAACACCTGTTTATGTCCTTGATCTGCTGCCTCCATCACTGCTGTACGTCCATATATGTCAATACTGTGGATGTCAATCTCGGCCTCGGCGAGGATCTTCTCTACGATTCCTGGGTGTCCTCCATTACAGGCATAATGAAGGATGTTGTCCCTATCATTATCCATTGATATATGGTCAGCTCCATTACCCAGCAGATAACCAAATATATTTTCCCGCCCATGCCATGCTGCCCACATCAAGGAAGTTCTTCCGTCGTTTCGCTTTCTGTTGATAAGTTCAGGTTGTTTTGAGACCACATATTTTACAATGTCAATATTTCCCCCGACACAGGCAGTGCTAAGAATGTGGTCACCATCCCCATCCGTTAGTGTCATATCAGCTCCTTCCTTGTGAAGATGTTCAAAGACGTCATTCTGCCCTCTCACTGCAGCCAACATCAATGGTGTCAGTCCATACAAACCTCGGGTGTTGACGTCTATTTCATACTCACTCATGACCTGTTTCACGGTATCGAGGTTCCCATCAATGACGGCCTTATGGAGCGGGGTGTCTTTAACTGGCCCTTGATGTAACCCTGTGTTGAAATTTGGATATTGTTCAATCTTTATATGAACAGCTGATAACATATCAGGTGATATTTTATCGATGTTACAAATGAAAGTAACTATGGGCTTAAGTTAATGCTCCTTCACACAATACTTCAATTTGATAGTGTAATGTCAACTTAATGTGTTGGGTAGGAAAGCACATGCACATTCTAGGCTGCGCCATTTTTATATTAGAATGTGATGAACAACAAATATGTCTGGAGACTTCACGACTAGGTGACGCAATTACATGACATTCCTTTCATGTCCTACTCTCAATAAAAACACATCTGTTTTCTTTGCACCTTTAACAAATAATCATAAGCTGTGATTATTTCGTTTTTTTCCATCTCACGTCTATGATATTTGTCAGGTATCCACGAGTCTTCAGTGTTCGCTGAGGAGAATAGTATGACATACAGTTAACTGTGATTGCATATGAACATTGCCATCAGCGTAACAATGTTTATGAATGTAGCGAGGGGCGGTGGGGTAGCCTAGTGGTTAAAGCGTTGGCTCGTCACGCCGAAGACCCGGGTTCGATTCCCCACATGGGCACATTGTGTTAAGCCCATTTCTGGTGTCCCCCGCCGTGATATTGCTGGAATATTGCTAAAAGCGGCGTAAAACCAAACTCAGTCAGTCAGTATGAATGTAGCGTCACTCTGGCGATGATCAAGGACAGGTGAAAACTATACTGAGTCAAAAAACAAACTTCACAAAATGTAATTTGAAAAATAATGAATAATTTTTCTCTGATGATACATCTATGTATCCGAAATGGGATCTTTCGACTCTAGAAAAACGTTAGCAAAACCCACTCAAACCCATCAATTCGTCGTGCAAATGACGTTAGTGTCAAATCAGGTTTTGCACGTGCAGACGATCACGTGATATTGCATCGAAGTTTTCTTCATATGCACGTGTTTGCACTGGCCTCAAGAATTGAAAAACACACTTTTAAACCACAGTTCTAACGGTACTTGAAATGCCACGATTGTCAAATGTGCAACGTGAACGTGCCGTTGGCATGTTGCAAGCGGGAAGATCAGTTATTGACGTCGCAAGGGCAATGGGATGCAGCCGTCGTACTGTGTATGACTTGCGAGGTCGTCTACAACAAACTGGCACCACTTCTGATCGCCCAAGGTCGGGTCGTCCACGTGTGACGTCATGAGCAGAAGACCGTCAAATCGTCCTACGTCACCTACGTGACAGATTTCTGCCGGCTACACGAACCAGGACTGAGATGTTTAGAGGTCGACTGTCCTCACAGACCAATCGAAATCGTTTGCGGGCCGCCAATCTCCATTCTCGACGTCCATATCGTGGGCCAATATTGACTCCGTTTCATCAACGTCAACGTCTGCTGTGGGCCCAACGTCATCTCCGATGGACCCAGAGAGACTGGAATCGAGTCGTCTTTAGCGATGAATCTAGGTTTACCCTCAGATTCGCGGACGGCAGGCATAGAGTCTGGAGACGACGTCTTGAACGGTATGCCCATTGTTGTGTACAGGAAGTCGACAGATTCGGGGGCGGAAGTTGCATGGTGTGGGGTGCTTTCTGTGGGAACAACCGTTCCAGACTTCTGGTCATCCGTGGAAACCTCACAGCTGCTGCTTAATGCGACCAGGTGCTCACCCCTGAAATCGTTTCTTTCATGGCGGCTCATGGCCCAGGTCTACAGTTCCAGCATGATAATGCTCAGCCGCATACCGCGATGTTGACACGAAATTCCCTTCAAAACGCTGGAATCAACGTCATGGACTGGCCATCGAGGTCCCCTGACCTTAATCCAATAGAGCACGTTTGGGATGCACTTGGGAGAAGGCTTCGTGGTCTTAGGAACCAACCTCAGAATTTGCAGGAACTTGGCCCTGCCTTGCAAGAGCAATGGCGCAGAATCCCCAACCACGTGTTCACAAGCATCAGGCAGTCGATGAGGAGACGGTGTTTGGCAGTGGTTAATGCGCGGGGCGGCCATACACGATATTGAACTGAGAAATTTCGCATTTTTATTCTTGTGACATGACATTCTGTATACCCCTGTTTTTGAACGGCGGTGTAGCCTAATGGAACTGATTATGGCACTATCAGTGTATCGAGTACATCACACAGATCTCAGCAATGAAATAATAACAATTTAACCGTCTTACCATCTCTTGTTCTTTTATAGTGCCCTGCAGAAGGAATGTGAAGTTTCTTTTTTGACTCAGTATATATTGAGGTGGAGGTCGGAGTAGGGGGATGGCAGGTGTCAATCGTTGAATCTGTCATGAGGTTAGGGGGTGGGATGTCACGAGTGACATCTATACATGCGACACATTTTCCGTAATCACGTCTTTTCTGTTAATTACTATTTCTCATCCTTCACAAATTCATTCTTAATTTAACATTTTTAATTTCCAAACTTCAGTCCAGAAAGACTCCAAATCCGCCAAAGGCGACCACACCAAAGCCAACCCTGACCATGCCATCCTTTGGGACAACATCCCCATCCTAGAAACCAACCAATCAGACTACAAGATTAGGAAACTTCTTGAAGCCATAAATCCAACGTTTAAACCCCACCACGAACCGGGATCAAGGTTATTTTATCTCCTCAGCCTATCACCACCTAATTAAAGATCACCAATAATCCAGCCATACCTCGTTCAAATGGCTTCTGTGCTCCCTTTTTGTGTATTGTAATGACAACCAATTAATGTGTACACCAACCTACTCTCTTCAACTCATGATTACCATCTCAGTGTACATCAACTCATCTATTGTATAAACCAATTCTCCATATTGTTTTAATCACTAGCACTTCGTACATGAACCTACTCTGCTCAAATCACTAATTAGCAATCCAATGAATATCAACCTTGTCAATTGTATACACACAATATGCAGCTATGTATATATTCTCCATATTACAACTGTTTGTATCACTTGCTTGATAACGGTGTTAGTACCTACACCGAAACGTCGCACTCATTGCAATAAAGGAGCTGACTATCCATAGAACTTGGTTTTCCTTCATCAGCTTCAAAAATGCCTCTCAAAGAAAATACATTTTTAGATATTGTTCTGGTCTCGTTACATATACTAGGCACATACACAAACTGTGTATACAAAAATTTAAAATCTAAATTTATCAAACCTGTGTAGACACATAAAGATTTAAACTCAGAGATTAGTGACATGTATCCAACATGCATGCACGTACCAAGTTCCTTGACGTCAGTGTGTTCGTCCTTGAGACGTGCAATACGTTTTAGCACGTGCATTCCGGGAAAGAGAAACAGAGCAAATGAATGCCACACAATACTGTCACTTTGGAAAGCTCAACCCTTGCCCTTGCGATCGTTCAAAAAGTTAAGCAGCTATTGAAACGCATAGCATGCCAGGGCTCACGTCTGCACAACGTCATGAGGCCATTGGGATGGTCCATGGGGGAATGTCTCAACGACAAGTGGCTGCACATTTCCACTGTCACCGGAACACCATTTCTGCACTGGTGAGACGCTACCAGAACACAAATGACGTCATCGATTGGCCACGTTCTGGACGTCCACGTATAACAACGCCAAGACAGGACAGATGGATAAGGGTGACCCATCTTCGTCACATGTTTTAGACTGCAGTGATGACTGCCCGAACCATCCCAGGACTTCGCCGTATCCACCCCAACACAGTTCGACAACGTTTACGTCATCACGGGATCAAACCACGACGTCCCGCCATACGGCCTATCCTGACACAACGTCATCGACAGGCTCGCCGAATGTGGTGCCGAAATCATGTCCGCAGACCCTTGTTTTGGTGGAGAAATGTTGTTTTTACAGATGAGTCCAGGTTTAACATTTCCCATAGTGATGGACGTGAACGTGCCTATAGACGCGTTGGAGAACGTTATGCACAGGCCTGTGTCTTGGAGAGGAATCGCTTTGGTGATGGTTCCGTGATGATTTGGGGTGGAATAACAGCACGCCAAGGAACTCCTTTGGTGATTGTTCAGGGCAACTTAACTGGTGTGGGCTACAGGGATCAGATTCTTCGACCTGTTGCAGTTCCTTTTCTGCAACGTCATGGCCCTGGGTTAACATTCCAACAATGCCCGCCCTCATACGGCAAGGGTTGCTATGGATTTCTTGCAACACCACAACGTTGACTTACTGCCTTGGCCTGCAAATTCACCGGATCTTTCCCCGATAGAGCATGTTTGGGACGATATGGATCGACGTCTACGCCGTCTTCCTCATCCGCCAGATAACGTCCTTGACCTTGCAACAGAACTTGAGAGAATCTGGCGTGACATCCCACAAGCCTTTCTTGCACGTTTGATAGGCTCTATGCGTCGTCGATGCACTGCAGTTCTCAATGCCGATGGTGGACATACCCGTTATTGAGCTTGTGACATGGTCGTGTGACCCCTGTCCTGCTTGTGGACTCGTGACGTCATTGTGATTGACTTTTCAATTGAAATTCTCCTGACTTGTTATGGTCTCATGATCCCTCCATTAAAGTTTATTTGTACCTTTGACATTGTTATCGTACTTATCGACTGGGATAATATTTTGACAATGCACAGTTTCTTTATGTGGCTAGTATATTTCTCCGAACCGGTTTGCCTTTCCACTGAACGTTACCCACCGTTCTATGACGACATTACATAACAAACGGGATTGCCAACTGAAGAAGGAATATTTTTCAAACTCTCGATCAATGACTTGGTAAATTTCAACATTTGTCCCTAACCAACTGGTTTTATGACGGTACCAAAAGTGCGTTTAAACAACATTATCTTTAAATTAACATTGTGTCTACATCATTACCACTTTCTGGTGAACTTGCCGCTTTGAACTCATAAGTTTGTCTCCAAGAACGCTTCATGCCCGCTTTAAAGTCAGTATTAAAACTTACGCTACTGACAACAACGGAAGTGAAGACATTTGAAATGAATAATTGAACAAACCATGCTTGTCGTAAGACGACTAACAGGATCAGGTGGTCAGTCTCACAGACTTGGTTCACACTTGCAATCGTATCACAATATCGTAGGTCGACTCAATAAGTTACAGACTGCCGCCACATAGCTGGAATAGTGCTATGTTCGGCATTAAACAACAAACAACACTTCATAAATCAAAGAGCATTTGTAAGTGAGTTCTGTTCTTACCTCTCATCAGTGGATCCCTCACTGCATCTGAGAAGACATAATATAGGATAACATGTGACTCTGAATGATTTGTTTTTACCTTAATTTCTTTTTTGCGTGACAGGTACACATTATATTCAAAACTGCTAATATTATGCTCCATGCTTGTCAAAGTGGATACAAAATGTAAATAATATATATACGATCACAGATTGTTTACTATTTGTAACAAACAGGAGAACTATGAAATGGGCTGTAAATCTCATGGCACGCAATGGCATACTTTGATGAATTGATGAGATGAATCCACAACTCAACGATTTTTCTTCCGGAGGACTGAAGCCTACGATTTATTTAGATTTGAAAACAACTATGTCTACTACAAATGATGACCCAAACATAAACTACATTATACTGAGAGTCGGATGGACACTGTCACGTTTCGAGTTAAAATTAAATACAAATGACACAACCCTTTCCACTTTCTTAAGAAGTGTATGCTAAAATCAGAGTCGATTGTACAATTGTGACTATATCATGAGTATTATAGTACAGAGCAGAAAACTGCGACATTTCACAGAAGTAAGAAATTATGTGTTTATGAATTACTATGAAATAGTGATGATACCAGGGGTTCGCGAAATGTTGGGCGTATCTTGCCCCTACGGTGGCACCCATCAATAAAACAATACGTTTACCTAAAATAGTTGGTGTTACATGGTCGAATACATCTGATTTTTGCAATCATGACGACTGTTTCGCCACGATGGTTTCGTGCGTTGATGTCAAGCCTATATTGTGACAGAACGCACCGCACAATTTCCTCATTTCCTGTTTCACATGCTACATGAAGGATGTTGTTTCCGTCATCAACTACTTGTAATAGATCAGGGCATTCACTCACCAGTAACCGAATCACTGTACTGTGTTTCCGAAATGCTGCCCACAACAGTGGCGTTCTCCCTTATTGCCCGCGTGTGTTGATGTCCACCAAATGCTGTGACAGGATATGTTCCACCATCTCTACAAGTCCTTCCATGCAAGCCAAGTGTAGGATGTTGTTCTCCATGTTATCAAGTAGTGATGCATCAGCTGCCTTTCTCAGGAGCAGGTCAAACACGCTTCTGTGTCCACCACGTGCTGCGATCATCAGAGGTGTTGCCCCATCCTCCCCATTACAGTTTATGAGAAAACCTCCCTGTGAGAGGATACGCTCCACCATACCCGTAAGTCCTCCCATGCAGGCCAAGTGTAGGATGTTGTTCCCCTTGTTATTAAGTAGTGATGCATCAGCTCTCTTTCCAACAAGCAGGTCAAACACGCCCCTGTGTCCACCACGTGCTGTGATCATCAGAGGTGTTGCCCCATCCCCTCCCCTACAGTTGATGTTAAAAACTCCCTGTGACAGGACATTCTGCACCATCTCTACATGTCCTCCACGACACGCGGCATGGAGTATATTGTTACCATCCTTATCTTGTGATATGCCACAATCTTTCCCGACAAGTATGTCAAACACCTGTTTATGTCCTTTCTCTACTGCCAGCATATCTGTTTCTACTGTTGATGTCAATCTCAGTCTCATCGAGGACCTTCTCAACCATTCCTGTGTGTCCTCCATGACATGCATAATGAAGGATGCTGTGCCCAACATTATCCATTATCCAGCCCCTTTATCCAGCAGATATTCGAACATGGTTTCCTTCCCGTGCGAAGTTGCCCACATCAAGGGGGTTCTTCCGTCGTTCCTCTTTTTGTTGATAAGATAATGTTGTTCCGACACCACATCTTTTACAATGTCCATATTGCCCCCGAGACAGGCAATGCTTAGAATGTGGTCACCATTACAATCCATCAATGCCATATTTGGTCTTTGCCAAAGAAGATATTTAAAGATGTGATGATGTCCTGACATTGCTGCCAACATCAATGGTGTGAGTCCATACAAACCGCGGCTATTGACGTCTATTTCCTCATCATGCACGAGCTGTTTCACGACATCCAGACTCCCATTAACGGTGGCTTTGTGGAGCGGGGTCTCCATAACTGTCCCTTGATATAACCCTGTGTTGAAATTTGCATATTGTGCAATTTTATATGAATAGCTGATAATCCGTTTGAAACAGCTGAACTGATATTAATAATCTTGAAAGAAAAATTGACCACGGGCTTATGTTTATGCTCTTTAAAACAATACGTCTGCAATATCGTAGAGTGTAAAGTTCATGTTTCGGAAAGGGAAGCCTATGCACTTACTATGCGTGTATCAGTTTTTATAAGAATGTGATGAACAACAGAACTATGGAGACTTCCCCACTAGGGGACGCAATTACATGACGTTTCTTTCATGTTCAACCCTCAATGAAAAAGTCTTTGTTTTCTTTTGCGCCCTGAACAAATTACCATTAGCTGTGTTTGTGTGGCATCTTTCATCTTACCTCTATGTTCCTTGTCATGTCCTGACATACAGCTAATCAAATCAAATGTTCATTGTATGAAAGGCCATAGGCCCATATACATGAAGTGTTCATGGTACTATATAGGATCTATTAAACAAAAGATTCACATTTAATTTCTACTCTTGAATGCATATTTGAAATATAACATTACAGATTTTGAATCTTGATAGTTTGTAGTTGCCATAAGGCGAAGAAATTGTTGTACTGAAGGGCGATTTAAATATTTAATTGGTATGTATTTCTTTCGAATTTTCTTTAAGGATCTTCAACGTTGTTTTAATTACAATGTGTACACACCCTTTAATGCTTTGCAGTTATATTATGTCTCCCGGTATCAATATTTAACCGTGTACATCCAACTCGAGCACGAGCAAAGTCGGTTGCAAATGTACTCAAGGTCAAATCTATTACATATTTCTCTGCTTCAAGATTAATCTTTAAACTTGCATAACATTCATATCTGGAGTTAGATGCTAATATATTTGTCCTTTCTTGGAAGTACATATCTTTTACTCTGGTTTGGAAACTGCTGAGAAAAATAGTTATACATCTAACGTCTTGCTAGACTGAAGCATAACCAAGACCTGAACTAAATAAGATATGTCTTGTAACATTACTTGCCCATTTCGTACGCCTTACGTGGAAGTCGACCAGGTGGCATGTGAAGTAGTTTTAGCCAATATTTAATGCACCTCACTGGACTGTCTATAAACAATGGGTAACGACCCAAGAGCCATCACTTTAGGAGTGTTAATGCCTGTACCAAGATAGTGTTTACATGCACGAAACTGGACCCTCTCTACCACCTTTAGTCCTTGATGTCCCCATATTTTGCTCCGTAAAGAAGGATGGGTGTAATTTTTTATTCCAATATTTTGAAACATGTTCTGAGTGGGACTTTTCCATATGTCCAAACTTATTTTAAAACATTCATAAGTGCCCTTTTCTCGTTTAACGGCAAACGGGATACTTCCTTGTTAAATTTAATGATGGAGTCATCAGTAGCCCAAGGTATTCTGAGACAACTTCTACAATTTCATGGCGTTAATACCATTTTTCACATTGTTTAAGATTTCCACCCTAACGAAAAAAAAGGTTTTTGTTTTTGAAATGTTGAACAGTAGTCATCTTGAATATCCAGTTGCTCTTGTAGCCCACTAACTCTATCAGACATGAATATAACATCATTGGCAAACATCAGTAGAAACAGTTCATGTAAATCAGGATATAATTGTACTCCCCTATGACAAGTATAATGCATATCGGCAGCCACCTCATTAGTAAAAAGAGTAAATAGAATTGGGCTTAATATACAGCCCTGTTATAGTCCAACAGGACAATGAAAACACTCGGTATAACCAGCGTTACACCGTACGCATGCTATTACAGACGAATACATAGACTGAATCACAGTCAACATTTTAACTGGTAGACCACATTTTTGGAGGACATACATGAGTTTATTTCCATCTGTAGAGTGAAATGTTTTTCTGAAAGTCTACAAAGGCAACATAGAATCGACCTCTCCGTTTACTTAAATATTTCTGTATACAAGCTGTTAGTGTGAACAAGTTGTCCGTTATTGCGTATCCAGGCCTAAAGCCTGCTTGTTCTTCACATATCCTATTATTAATTTCTGCCCATTTTTTTAATCTGCGGTTAATTTTTGTTGAAAATATCTTTCTGAATATACTATTTACCCCTGTATTTATTAGGATCATCTCGAGGGCCATTTTTGTAGATAGGTACCATGGTACCTTTGCTCCGGGAGGAGGGAAATTCGCCTGTGGAATATATTCTTTTAAATAAAACTTCCAGGTGAGGGCATAGTTAGGTCAAATGATGATTTGAACATTTCCGGTAATAACATATCTAAACCCGATGATTTCCCACCCTTTACTAATTTTATACCATTCAGTATCTCTAATGTTTTTCAATCGTTTACTCCAGCTCATGATGAGTTTCTGTTTGTGTGAGGGAGTGACTTAATATTTAACGTCACATCGGTAATATCCCAGCCATATCGTGACGAAAACAATTTATACAATAAAAGTGAAAATATTTTGAAGATTAAAACCTGTCGACGATGGACAGTAAAAATACTAGATAATCACAGATACAGTATAAAACTAGTGAACAAAGCTCAAACATTCCAATTACAGAAGACAATTCAATATAAAACACAGGCTATAGATCGCTACGAACTGAAGGTAGATCACCAAACTAGGAACCATGGGGACCATTACTTTTGCTACCTGCATGGAAACTAGCTGGATTTACACCATCCCTTCAGCCGCTGGCGACTGTAGGATAGTTTAGCCGAAATTTAAAAGAACGAAACTACTACGTTTAACAACTTTGTACGAGAAAATCTTTCTTTGAAAGTTTTTGGACCTACGTACCCTCTCAGGAGGACAATAATTTCTGTTTGATCGTGAGCATCATCAACACTAATTGAATGTAAAAACTCATCTTTGTTCAAAGATGGAACTTGAAACAGATCCTTAAAATATCCGTACCAAATAGCTGTACTAATATCTATTTGGACTGACTGACAGTATGGTTTTACGCCGTTTTTAACAATATTCCAGCAATATCACGGCGGGGGACACCAGAAATGGGCTTCACAAATTGTACCCACGTGGGGAATCGAATCCGGGCCGTTGGCGTGACGAGCGAACACTTTAACCACTATGCTACCCCACCGCACCCTATTTATTTGAAAAGGTTTATTGTAACCCATGTTTTTAACGTGCTTCCAAAACGATTTACTGTTATGAAGCGATCCCTCTAGGATATTTAACAGTTCTTTTTTTAATGAAGTACACTTACGTCAAGTGGTTGGCTTATATCTATTGTTAAGTAAGACTCGAGGTAAGAAAACACCGAGGCGAAGTTGCCAGGACATATACTTTTATTCCTCTCGCATGAGTGAATCTAGACACAACCACGCCGGCCGGCACATGGTTCTTCACTGCCCTCGCTTACACCCTTGCGCATGCGCATGCCTCTCACGCAAAGCTACTTCCTTCCTCTCCAGTGCTCCAGCCACCCATACGTACACATACGTTAACACACTCCCAATATTCTATATTTGTTATGAAACTGGAATACATATATACATACACATTTATAAAAGTTCAACCAAATTATTGATATTTTTGTTTGTTGTTGTTGTCCTAAAGAAAAACATTAACAGTCCTGGCAATTATATAGTGACACAGAACAATATCAACAGTCCTGGCAATGATACAGTGATCAGATGCAATTCATCAGGAAAACTTCAGATGTTAACAAATGTCTGATTACTTCTTTTTCAGTCACATATATGACATGCTCCCAGATCGAAGACACTCAAGGAGCTGAGCGGCACTTGCTCCCTTCTTCGTCATACAGTCCGACAATTGTTGATTTGTATCCACCCAGTGAACATTGGATATCACATTCTGCTGCAACATTTGCTTGATGCTAGCGATGTCAACCCGTAAACGTTTCTCGTTTACAAGTTTTGTTGAATGTATGTTTTCAAACAGTGATTTGTTGTCTGTAAAACAGTCAATAGGGATCACGTTAGTGTTTCTCCTAAGCAGAACTTCGCTGAGAAGATGTCCAAGGTAGCAGGCAGTATCTAGCCCATCTACCATGGATAATGTCTCGGCTGCCAGCGTACTTCTCACTACCCTGTGTATCTTGTTGGCTTTCCAGGCAAGCGGAGAACTTTGACATCGTTCATCTGTCAGCAGAATGATAAATCCACAAGCACTTGAAACTCCATCATTCAGATTGGCATACGAGGCATCACAGAATAACTTGATTCTCAAATCTAAACTTTCAAACTTTGGAAAATAAAGAGGAAAGTTTTCATATTTTAATTTTCTTAATGCCTTATTAGCCCTGAGAATGTCCAAGACTCGAGGATGCTTCATCGCTGTGCTTAGCTCAAGAACATCAAAACAGATATCAGGCCTAGTCTGGTTTCCTACCCAACTTAGCTGTCCGATCAAACTTTGACAGATGAAACACAGGCCACAGCATATTATACACGGGGACGTGCATATGGACCGCGTCGTAACAGGAACGGTCGGCGTGGGAGGAGAGCTTATTATCCTCCACAGTTGGGTTTGTCTTCCCAAAATACTAGACAAAGGGGTAGAGGACATAGAATTCTTAATCCAATGGGAGACGATGGTCCTCAAAGGTGTGTGATATGTGAATCAATTTACCATTTTGCAAGAGATTGTCCAGATTCCTATGAAAACATGAAGGCTAATGAAGAGGCTGTACTTTATACAGGGAACAAACAAACTGAAATGCAAGTATTGATGTGTGAAGCCATGAATGCTGCAGTTTTGGATAGTGGCTGTACATCAACAGTTGCAGGTGAGATTTGGTTGGATGACTTTGTAAATAGTTTAGACAAGGATCAACTCAAGAAAGTGATTGTTTGTGAAAGTGATACAATTTTCAAATTCGGCGGGGGAGAGAAATTGAAATCAATCAAGAAAGTTACCTTCCCATGTAAAATCGCAGGACAGAACTGTTCGATAACAACTGATGTTGTGAGCAGTGACATTCCCCTTTTACTTGGAAAACCAGCCATGAAAGAGGCCCGTGTTGTACTGGACCTTGAGAATGATAGGGCAAATATTTTAGGACAAGAAATAGAATTGCAGTGTACCTCTTCAGGACATTATTGTGTTTCGCTAACTGACAATACCACATCAGTAGCAGTGTCGGAGGTCTTCTTCAATGTATCAGAAAAGTCAGAACAAGAAAAGAAGAAGATTGTAACCAAGCTCCACAAACAGTTTGGACATCCATCAAGCCACAGATTAACACTTCTTTTACAAGATGCAGGCTGTTATGAAGAAAGCATGAATAATCTCGTGGAGGATGTAACTGCTACCTGTGATGTCTGCAAGAAATTTAAGAAAACTCTTCCTAAACCTGTTGTTTCCTTGCCATTGGCGACTAGATTCAATGAAGTAGTTGCACTTGACCTGAAGGAGTGGAAAGCTGGGATATACTTTCTACATATGGTGGATCTTGCTACTCGATTTAGTTTGGCAACAGTTATCTACAACAAATTGCCAGAGACAATTGTGAATAAAATCCTTGGTCTGTGGATTGGCAGTGGTTTTGGTGTTCCAGGAAAAATTTTGACGGACAATGGTGGTGAGTTTGCTAATGATATTGTGAGAGACATGGCGGAAAATCTAAACATTCAAGTTTGTACAACAGCAGCTCAGAGCCCTTGGCAAAATGGAACTTGCGAAAGGAATCATGCCATCCTTGATGACTGTGTACAGAAGATGTTAGCTGACAATCCAAGACTTGATCTCGAGACTGCAATTGTATGGGCCACCAATGCAAAGAACTCCCTTCAAATGGTTCATGGATACAGTCCCTACCAGCTCGTCTTTGGATGCAATCCCAATTTGCCATCAGTACTCATTGACCGCCCCCCTGCATTAGAAGGGAAAACTGTGAGTGAGATATTTGCCAAACATCTGAATTGTATACACAGTAGTCGAAAAGCTTTTGTTGAGGCTGAATCATCAGAGAGAATAAGACGTGCTTTGAGACATCAAGTGAGGGCATCAGGTGTTCCCTTTCAACCAGGAGAAACTGTATATTATCAACGCAACGGAACATGGCGAGGACCTGGAAAGGTGATAGGACAAGACGGAAAAATAGTGTTTGTCAGACATGGCAGTGTGTACGTCAGAATCCATCCATGCAGACTTAACAGAGTGGGTGAAGAGTTTCTTAACCCTGAAGTGGAAAATACAAGTACCATTGAGGAAGGAAATGGATGTATAGAAACCATAGTAGAAAGACAAAATACAGAACAACTCTTTGAAGATGACAGTCAAGAAAACACATCACAAACAATTGATCACTCAAGGACAGTGTCTCAGTCTGCCTTACCGAAACCACATACGGAAATAAGATACCTACCTGTGGGTGGTGACATGTGGGTTTCTGCTACCGTGATCAGTAGAGGGGGCAAGGTGCATGGAAGTAACAAAGCTTGGTTTAATATCAAGGACAGTGATAGTGAAGAAATCAAATCACTTAATTTTGAGACAGGAGTAACATCATGGGAATTAGTTCAAGCTTCACCACAGGATAACAGTGACTTAGTCGAAGAAAAGACTGGTGATAATCATGTTTTTCTTGCCTCTTCTAATAGCATTGATGATGCTAAACAAGCAGAATTAGACAACTGGAAAAACTTTAATGTCTATGAGGAGGTTACTGACCATGGACAGCCTCAAATGTCTACCAGATGGGTGTTGACTGAAAAACAACAGGATGGAAAGCTGATAAATAAAGCCAGGCTAGTTGTTCGCGGTTTCGAAGAAATGGCAGATATACAAAGTGATTCACCGACTGCAGGTAAAGATACTCTTAAAATTCTGTTGTCTCTGTCATCAGCTTTTGGATGGGAATTAAACACCATAGATATTAAGGCAGCATTCTTACAAGGACATAACATAGATCGTGATGTATACCTCAAGCCACCTGTTGAAGCTGATACTGATGGAAAATTATGGAAACTAAGGAAATGTGTGTATGGTCTCAATGATGCATCAAGAAAATGGTATTTCAGTGTTAGGGAAGAGTTGTTGAAAGCAGGATGTTTGCAATCTACAATAGACCCATCTCTATTTTACTGGTATCGTGACAAGTTAGAAGGTCTTTTCCTGATGCATGTAGATGATTTCATTTGGTCCGGAGCACTCCCATTTGAAAGAATTGTCATTGATAAGATTAGATCTTCGTTCAAGATTGGAAAGGAGGGGAGAATGATGTTTAAATACATTGGAATGGAAATCAAACAGACGAAAGGAATTATCCTTGATCAGTGGTTCTATATCAGCGGAATACAGTCGATACCTTTATCAACAAGTCGTTCGGCACAAAAAGATGATGATCTCAACAAAGAAGAAGTAGGTCATCTGAGAAGTTTGATCGGACAGCTAAGTTGGGTAGGAAACCAGACTAGGCATGATATCTGTCAAATACACTGGTTCCACTTTAATGGTGGGACAAGAAAAATTTGTGTTTGGCATTGACTGCTTCCCAAAGAATTTTCTTAAAGATAATGACATCTGTTTGAAGAGAGTTGATGCTTCATTGTAATCAACACCTGTGAGAACCAACTGTCGATCTTTGTGTTCTAACCCTGACCCGTCAAGCAGACGGAAAGCTAGCACTGATTCTGGAAGTATCATATTAAACTTCTTAGTTTTGTTATAAAGTTTTTCAAATTCTGAAACATACGTTTCCATACTCATATTTTGTGTTCTTTTAAATTTATCAAAGTCACCATATACCTCATACGCTGCCGTGATTTCATCCTTCTTGTAGATTCCATCCATAAACGCAAGAAGTAATTTCGCCCCATCCTTGTCACCAAGTTTCGCCGCTCCCAGTTCATTAAACACTTTGTCCCGAATGTTATCTGTTTCTGGCAGTGAAAGAGCTATTGCCGCACCCTGTTTATCTTCTGCCAAATCTGTGACTGCTTGCCACACCTTCACTTCTTCCACCCATCGACTGTAAGGCTTGTCGTCGAGAAACGCTGGGGGAATTCTGTAATTTTCAGGCGCCATTTTCTTTTCGGTAGACACTTCGCTTCGCTAATTCTTCGCTTCGCTATTTCACTGTAGTTGCCCTGTCACTGGCCTGGGAACTATTAACCACGCTCTGCTACCATGTTAAGTAAGACTCGTGGTAAGAAAACACCGAGGCGAAGTTGCCAGGACATATACTTTTATTCCTCTCGCATGAGTGAATCTAGACACAACCACGCCGGCCGGCACATGGTTCTTCACTGCCCTCGCTTACACCCTTGCGCATGCGCATGCCTCTCACGCAAAGCTACTTCCTTCCTCTCCAGTGCTCCAGCCACCCATACGTACACATACGTTAACATCTATTACGAAGCTGCCTCAATGACACTTGACCCTTACAGCTCCTGTACCGTCTAAGTGCTCGCCCGGCCTCTAGCTTACTATAGTGATATTCTGCATCATACCATTTGCCTGTGAAGAGTCTCTTAATTGTCCTAGCATTTCGCTTAAATATAGAGGCAGTATGTAGCAAGGCACGTGAAACTATAGCAACAGAAGTATCAATACTGCTATATAACAAGTCAGTGGCACGGCTCAGCTCTTGCTTACAACAATCCGTTAGCTATCTATTACAGAATGTATATTCCCCAACGTTACTATCATCACCACAGCGAGCATTTATAATATGGATATCTGATGAAATACATAAGCCAATGTGGGTTTGATCAAATCTTTTTTACAACAGTATCTTTTGAGCTACATGGAAGATCGAAAGGATCTTCATTTTCACCAGCAACGTCATCACGCGAGTAATCAGACACCTTACCAGTTCGCACATTTAAGTCTCTTCCTATTACAATACAAGGATTGTTCTACAGTTTGGCAATAAATCTAGAATAATAGTTCCTAGAAGATTTATGCCATTTCTGTCTGGTTGTTTGTCATAAAATGTCGAAAACTGGGGAGGTATATATACACACGCGTACAATATATCGGCATTTAAGTAGGATAATGATTTATCAAGCTTTAAACATACACCTAGAGCGCATGTATACAGTTGGGTAATAAGATGACTTATTGTTTTCCTCACTAACACTGTCACAGCACCCGAACTACGCCCAACATGACTAAATCTTGACGCTTGGACTTGATGAATGTCAAAGGCGGGGAAACACCCCGAACAGTCTAAATCCTGAGCCCATGTTTCTACAAATCCAACTAAATCATAGTCAGACTGACTGACTGACTGGGCTTCACACATTGCAAACATGTGGGGATTCGAACCCGGG